ATCCATATTGAAATTGATTGATAAGGATTTTATCATTTCATTCCACGTTGCAAGCTAGCTTTGAAAATTCAACAACATATATAATGGGTGACTATAATTTTTGTTGCAAAGATAAGAACTTGGTCTCTGCTAGTCTTTGTCAATCATTTTTTTTTTTTTTTAATGTGGCCGTAAATACTTCTAGGAATGAATTCAAATTATAAAAGAGTTGCAAATCTTTTTCATTAAAGATGTAAATCAACAGAGGGCACTTCTTGATAGAAATGCGCCTATGAATTCAACTTGAGTAAATCCATTAGGATATTAGAAGGAATGTAAGCTTAGATAGAACTTATTTTGTTGAAGAAATCCTTGAAATTTTGATCTTGTTCTATCAAACTTCTTAGGCATACTAATTCTTATCCCTATTATATTTGTCGAAGCAAAAATCTCTAGATTTGATTGTAAGGTCCATCTACTTACTTCTTTCAATTGTATGACTTCATATTGTAGACTTTGAACTTCTTCTATAGGGGTTGGAATAGTATGTCCATGATTCACATTAGAAATTATTGACAAGCTCATAAAGATCTGCAATAGTTGCAAATCTATTCTCACTTCCATTGAGAATAGCATCCATAATCTTTCCTTTTATAGACAACTCAAACAAGTTCAAAAAGTTAAATTAGAGGAAGGTAATCTGCAACCTCTAATATCAAATAAAAATTTTTATAAAGAAAGTAATCCACTCTTTTTAAGAAAAAAATCAATATTAAAAGACAAGATTGTTTATTTAAAGATGGATAGTCTACAACCTTCAAAATACAACAATAGAAGTAAGGTAATCTACTCTCTTTTAAAACAAGATAGAAACAGTAAGTTAGCACTCTTGTCAAACTATAAAGGACATGAATCTTGAAAAAAGAAATCCTCAATACACACTTGTAACACTAAAAAGAACTAAAAAATCACTCAAATATGATATTTTATTGAACTAAAATGGCTATTGTCAAATATAAAAAGACTAGAAAGTCTAGAAACAAGACTAAAGACTAGAAAGGCATTGATAAGAATGAAGAAGGCTTCACTCTTACCTCCATATGTACTCTTAACTAGGAGCTATGTGGAGATGTCTTATATGACCTCCAAAACATGTTAACTTTGCAAGACATGTATCTTAACTTATAAGGCAAGTTTTTTATATGTGTGCCACATAATTAGCTTATTTTGTAAGCTACTAATACGTGGTTAACTTATTGACTAAATTTCTAACCTACCAATCAACTAAAAATACATGTAAAGTCAAAGCAATGTCTATGAAGCTTTTAGAAAGCTTCTCTAGAAGGTATTATGAAATTAACCTACTGTTATCTACTTTTATCTATTTCTACCTGATCATATAAGAATTTATTAGAGTACCTATGTATATCCATGATACAAAGATAAATATGTTGAAGAAGTTTTATAAAATAAAATCAAAATTTTGAAGATTTTTATAACAAGTCAAATTCTATTTAAGTTTTTATTCTCTCAATATTCTAATAGATTTATTTAAGTTGGATTTATTGGTGTACTTTTATTTAAAAGAACTCTTTCTTGATTTGTATCTTTGATGGAAAAGAATTTATGACTCCTATGTGATTTAAATTCATTCTTAGAAGTATTTACAATCACATTGAAAAATAAAACTCCTATCTTTATAACAAAGATTATCTTTAGCCATCGTATATATTGTTGAATTTCAAAACCTTATTTGGAATGTGGATTGGAATGACAAAGCCTTTGCTATAGTTAAAAACTTATGCAACTCCTAATAAAGGTCATATTCTCTGTTTAGATCTCTTACCTTACTTTATAATAGATGTTTGATTAAGATCAAAAAATTTGCAAAGTCTTTGCATTTATAAAAATCATAGATGGTTGTTTGTTGTCTTTTCAAGATGTTATTCATTGAACTATTCTTTTAGATGTAACAACTAATGGTCATAATAGCTTAATAATATTTAATATAATTAGATCTCTTTTTAATTTAATTAAATTATATTTATTATAATTAGAAAAATATAATCATAGAATAGATTGGATTTTTTGTAACTTTTTTTTTTATAATTTAATTTAGACCTTTATAAAAAATTAAAAGTCAAGTAGATGTAATAGCATTTATATATGTAAAAAAATATCACTTTTTGCTATTTATGCCATATTCAATTTTTTTAGTAGAAAAACTTCAATTGACATTTTAAGTCAATATTAAGATAATCAAGAGGTCTTTTAAAAGAAGAATGTAGACATTCTTCTAGAGTATTATGATTGTTCAATTGATCTTCAAGAAAGAACTAAACTACAATTTGAACCAATCTAAAACTTATTACAAAATAAGTTGGTTGAATTCAAAGAATATATTGATAAGAATCTACCTAAGAATTTCATATACTATGCTAAATTTCTACCTAAAGACTCTATTTTATATATATATATATATATATATATATATATATATATATATATATATGTGTGTGTGTGTGTGTGTGTGTGTGTGTGTATTATAGATGTATGTGAATTATTGAAGACTTAACAAGATTATTATTAAGAATAAATATCTTCTACCTTGATTTTAATACTTTTTAATCAATTAAATTAAGCAAAGATCTATGCAAAAATAGATCTATAAGGAATATACAATCTAGTACCTATCAAAGAAAGAGATGAATAGAAGAGTGCATTTTGAACCAAATATTAGTATTTTGAATATAATGTCATGTCTTTTGAACTTATAAATATACAAGCTACTTTTCAATATTTAATAAATTATATTTTTAAAGAATTTTTAAATATATTTATTATTTATTATTTAAATGATATCTTAATCTATTCTAAAAATATAAAAAAGCATAAATTTTATGTTTGTTGTGTATTACAAAAACTTAGAGATGTGTGACAATATGCCAAGTTAGAAAAATATATAATTAATACAACTTAAATTGGCTATTTAGGATACATTATTTCAAATAATAGTCTTATGGTTGATCTTAAATAAGCTCAAACTATCATGGATTAGAAGATTCTGAAAATAATAAAATATGTCTAATATTTTTTAAAATTTATCAATAATTATTAAATCTTTATTAAGAATTTTTTAAAATTATAGTTCGACTTATATATTTGGCTTGTAAAGACAAAATTAAGTAGAATTATAAAGTTGAAGCATCATTTGAATCTTTGAAGACAACTTTCATGACTGCACCAATCAGACATTACATATATCAAAACAACCATGATCTTTTGTTTTTATAGACATTATCACAAATCTTTCAATTTCAAGTTCTTATGATTTTATATATATAATAGTAGATTTTTTAACTAAGATGGCATATTTTGTACCATGTATAAAAAACTATCTTAAGTGAAGAAACTACTAAAAATAATTTTGATAATATTTATTATTATCATGGATTGTCCAAGGATATTATATTAAATAGACAGACTCAATTTATATGAAGATTATAGAGAATTATTTTTCAAGATATTGAAGGTGAATACAAAATTATCTTTAGCTTTTGATCTTCAAAAAAATAGATAAAAAAATAAAAAAATAAATCAAGTTTTGAAATAATATTAGATGTGTACCATAAACTATCATAAAAATAATTGGATAATTTTTTTATCATTAATAAAGATTACTTATAATAGTATGATTTATTTTTTTTATTTAATAAATATCTTCTTTTGCTAAATATATTCTCCTTAAATTAAAATAAGATTTTGCTTCCATCTTTGTCTTTTCTTTGTTTTTTTCTATCTTTAGATCCTCTCTTTTTAAAAGACTCGCTCTTTTATATACTCAATATATGTCTCCATCATGTATGATATATTTAAAATTTCAAAAATATATGTATATATATATATATATATATATATATATATATGAATGTCTACTAATTTATCCTAAATTACATTGCTTTATATTAATTGCAATGCAATTTAGGACATATTAATATAAAGCAATGCACTTACAAGTGCATTTAATAACACTCTTTTTTAGTCATCTAAATATAAAAAATATGAAACAATTTGCATGCTTTATTATTCTTATAAGAATGTTTATATCTACCTTAATGTAATTCTAAATTGAGTTTAAGCTACATGTTTGACTTTTAGTTGCTTAATTATGCTTTAGTTTGGAAAGACTTTTGCATTCTATTTTTCTAAAATAAATAAATAAATAAAAATAAAAATCTTATTCAAAAATATATCTGTATATGTTGTGTTGTTATTGTTTATGAAATGAGGGGAATGCAAAACTATTTCCTAAAGAATTAAATTGAAAGAACAATGTCCTTAAAATTGCTTTCATCAAATTCTTTGTAAGATTTGAATTCTCTTAGTATAGAAAATATTGAATCTTTTTAGAATATTTGTGCAAGTAGGAGTAATTAGTTTTAATTGTAGATTTCTTTACACAACAATTTGAAACTAACAGTATGGAATGATTCAACTGCAGTTGGTTTTTGAGTTTTTTTAACAATATATTAATATGATAACAGAGAAAAAATAAATATAAAAACAATATAAAAGTGTTTGCAAAAATGGCTAGAAACACAACCCTTCTTTGTGACAGTATATCTTTATTTGAATTAAAACCAACTTTGATAAATGTTTATTGAATATTATCGTGATTAATACAGAGCAAAACGCTCAAAAGTTGGTATATGGAGAAGGTTGCACAACATGACAGTATGAATGGGCAGGAAAGTTCAGGATTCTAGAAGATCCGCTGAGCTTCACAATCTGATTTGATGCACACTGTTGTGGCAATGCTACTCAAAAATGCTCAAATTAAAACATTACAACGTAGGTTCTAAAATAATTTTAAGCTTTGAAAGAAAAATAAAAGCCCGGATTCTAACATTTCTTACAGTAGATGCCGAAGTATACAAGAATGAATTAATTATTCCAAAAATCAATAAATATCAGACCTGTTACCCACGTACGTATTCACGTTGTTTCTGCAGACAGCATACTTGGTCAGGCAATAAAATCAAGCTCAAGTGAAAAGTGTGTGCGGAGTCTGCGAGGGAGAGCTCTGTGAAGAATCACGACAGCCAACACCTTGTACAAAAATATGTGCATCAACTTCAGTAGTGGGATCTAATCAAGCGCCTCTGTTGTTTATAATTACAGTAAGGTTTGTCAACGGGCCCGTGCAGAAAGAGCCTGAGACTTAAGAAAATATTTGATTATCGACCCTCTTATACTATACAGACTGTGTCGAATCAGTATGTGTAAGCTTCGGTTGCGGTTCACGGCGCAGAAGTTGGGGGATGAACGCATCTTCAAGTTCAACAAGGTGCCTGGGGTCATATTCGCTCATATAGCCCTCCACAATGGCAGTAATAGGGGCCGTTCTGCACAAGAGACAACGAAAGGAAATATCAGTATAGAAAAAGATGGTTTCTGCAAGCAATATTCTCGCTATTACTGAGAGTAACAATATAATTGTGATGTATCATAACTATGTGTTGACCAAGTATGATCCTAAATATATGCTACCAGTCAATACATGGTTATAATACAATTCTCAGTATAGAAACCCAGTAACAAAGGAGCTTTCGGAAGACCACGAGAAATCGACCCAAATCTGGTCACTTGTGACCACTCATCCTACTACAGAGGCTTACTTCTGAATAAGAATCTTGTACAAAGCTCGCAGGATGGGGCAAAGCTCAATGGGTCGGACTGGCTTGCCAAGCTCAGGATGCATTACGCTTAATGAGGGCTGTCGCAACAACTCATGGAATGCCTCCACTGCAGATATACCCTGGATATAAAAGACGGCCTCTTTTAAGGGACGGAACTTGCTGAAAACAAACTTTTGCAATTACAGAGACATTGCAATAACTCAAGAAAATAACCACTCCAAGGCAGCTCGCTGGATGGTTCATATGAAGATGGTAAGGAAGAATACTGCAAATTGCAATGGACAAGAAAGATAGACCTTATATACGTATATTTCATGGGAAAAAGTTCGATCAAATAAATAAGAATTTTTCTCCAACTGACCTGAATTGTACCCTTTCCGCTGAAGGTATCACCCGTCTCAATGGTAATCTCTCCTTTAGCAAGTTTTCCCCCATACCATGCATTCCGACCTTTCAAAAGCGTGACGTAAGTATCTGCAAGCAATGGACCTGCCAGCGGACCTGGGTTTTCTGCCAGCAAACGTGTGATATAAATCATCTCTGATGTTGAATGTGAAAAATACACGGCCTTGCTTGTAGCTGACTCGTTGGTCAAAGCTCCCACCATTCCTGCATATGCCAAATTTACCCGAGTCAGCACAAGAGCAACGTTTTTCTTAGTATCCCAATCTCGTACTCAGCACTAACATTACCTGTTCATTTTAAGGGCAGAACGTCATCTCCAATTCAGTGATTTAACTCTAAAGGCTAGAATGAGAAAACATTAGATGATTACATTCTCAATGCATAGAAGACTAACACAGAGGATCGTGACAGTGGCTCACCGGCACCAATGGCGTACACATTCTTAAGACCACCCATGACCTCATGTGTGACAATGTCAGGATTATCCCACACAATAAAGTGTGGCTGGCGCAGAAACTTTGCCAAGGGCTTCCGCCATTTCTCAGACCCGCAGATCCGTGCATTAGCATACTCCTTGTTGTAAACTTCAGAAGCAATGTTCGGACCTCCCAGGTACAAAACATTTTCAGAAGGCACGCCGGCTGAATCACAATTACACAATATTCAGTCCCAACCCTCATATTAATTCATACCATTTCAACCTGACAAGAGCCAGCTGGAGGACACATTTACACACACACACACAAAAACATTAAAAAAAAAAAAAAAAAAAAAAAAAAAAAGAAGAAGAAGAAGAAGGTAATGAACGCTAGTGTGCCCCGCACCGTCCAGAATCAAGCAATAAAAGTTTCACATCAAAGTGCTAATTCAAAAGGTTACCTCATTAATGAGCAAAACAATTACTAAAAATCACGGAGAATGAACTCGTACACATGTAGCCTAAATAAGTAAGAGACCCCCATTAAGTAACAAATTCACTTGCTGAATACCAAAGGTTCAGTCTGTAGTTAAAAACCCCGCATCCAGTGCATGCGGAGCTGTAATTGAATAATTTCAAGTCTGTAGAAACGCACTTGTTTTAAAGGAAAACATAAACTGCTGTGAGTACCAAGCACTTTTTGTTTATGTTCCTAGCAGTGAAATGAGATGCAGGAAAAGAAAGCCGCAATGAGAGAAGTGGACTTACTCATATCCACAATCATTTGAGTAGGAGTGATGATGTGAGGGTGAGGGTCCAAGGCAGTCTCCACTCCCTTCGCCAGGGAGATGATGATGGGCATAGTGCGACGCTCCCGCCAGTATCGACCAATGTCTTTAAAAACTCGCCGAATCTCAGTGGAGGGGAGACCCGCAACCACAATATCTGCGTCCCACACGGCCTCCTGGAGGTTGGTGACCACCTTGACAGGGCACAGGGGCGTGTCTATCATGTTCACACAAAAGCCATCCCGGAGAATCTCATCGGCGTACAGAATCCGTTCCCCAAGCCGGCCCTCCACGTACTTGAGATAAGCACATTTACGAATGAGGCGACGTAGAACGTCCTCTCGAGAATTGATCACCTCGAACAGATGCTCCGCCGTTTGACGATCTACCTCCTTGCCCCCTCTTCTCCACAAGCGCAGCTGGAACAAAACACAAGAAAAGTAACTAATTCCTTCCTCAACTTGGACGAAACCAAGATAAGTTCCAATTATATGCCCAACAGAAATTGCTTGCATTCCCCTAATGCAAAATTCAATTTCCTTCCACGGTGATCAATCTCTCGGAGAACAGAATTGATTCCTTCAAAATACTGCACGTCCTTCTAAGAATGCTCCAAAAAAAAAATTGTCAAATAACTCTATCCTTGCTGAAGTATGTTTTTAGACTTAAAATTGGAGATCGAGAAAACGCACTCACCTGTATGTCATCACGGAAGGCACCATAAGTATCCTGCAGCATGGCAATGAAGACACTGCCCCAAGCTCCTGCACCAACGCCCACCATTCGCAACGGGTCACCATCTGCCTTCCCTAGCGATTCTCGAAGCTCTCGCAACCTGGCCTCGTTGTTGTGTGTCTCCTTCTCCTCCGTCTGCACGCCGTTCGCATGCCCATTTGCAACATAGGTTGCATTCCCTGATTCGTCCATCGCTGCCTACACGTAGGCCGGGCTATCAATCACTTTCTGGGCTCAGAGTGAGGCAGTTGGGTTCCAAGAGAAACTAAACTATTCGCTTACTCAGGCGCACACCAGACCCACTGCAGGATGCGCACCGGCCACATTACCTGGAAGTGCTCGAAGGATCCGAAGACGAGCCTTTGATCAAAAGTGGAGGACGCCTCAAAAATGAAAAGAAAACAACAACGACATATCCGAGCAAATTCATTCACCCTCAAAGTTAAAGGGATTCAATTCGACACCAGTTGGGTGAAGCTCATGAATGCAGTGAACCGGAACATGGGTAGTGAACACCAATGACATCATAGGTCAGTGACTTCATATAAGAAACCCTAACCTCACTTTTTAATAGATTGCTACGAGGACAATTTACTGCAAATCAATCCCAGGTGAAGTGCTGGCTTTCAAAAACTAGATATTATTCATAAAATTTGAGAGAAACAGATAACAGGAATTTGAGGAAACAATCAGCGATGACAGAGTTGCCTCTATCAGGATTCCCCTACAGTCTGCTGCAAACACTTTCGACCTGCAGCTTCAGTTAAGTGTTACAACATTAACAATTCAGATTAAGAAACAAATTTGGTCTTGTTGAAACCGTTCGACAATACCTATCCAACACACAACAACTCCCGCTTCCGAGTTTCGTTTACCTTTAACGTGTTTCTCTAAAGTTCTGGTTTCAAGAGCACGCCGTCCCAAACTCCTCGATCGTACGCAGAAGCTTACATTCTCACACTCCAACCCACCGTGAATGCAGAGACAACACCCTCTCACATTCGAACACCACTGTCCATTATAAACAATCGAGGAGATCGGTTACAGCTTCGGTTGTAACGATCAATCGACGGTCCAAGGCAAGCTTCAACTCAATCCCTCCCCCCCCCCCCCTCGCAGTTGAATTATGCACAACCCGTGATAGTAGAGAATGACTCTCAACTGCGCGAATGTCTGGAAGAAACAAGCTGTCAAAGATCAATTGCTACTACCCTACATGCACGAAGCACAACGAAAGGCCGTGATGAACTGGAGCAGGGATTGAAGGAACGGATCTACCAAGGCGGTCCAAACAGATGGGTGCGAGAGCGATAGCGCGGAGGTCCCCAAGCACTCAACACATCTGGATGAAAGGGACAAGTGACGGGATCACATGGATGAATCAGGAAAAGGAGGTTGTTGGAATTGGGCGACTATGGCTTTTCTCGTAATAAGTCGTGAAGAAAAATGGAATTGGGTTGTTGCGGAGACAAGTTGGTGATTCGTGAGGCATTCAATGCGGTGCTTGACCAGTTCAATCGATTGACTCAGCTACCGTACAGCACTGGAGAAACCAAGTCTCCGACGTCCTTTATTGCCGATGGCCAGTGCTTAATTCACGCTTTGGCGAGTTGATCAGTACCTGTGTTGAAACGTTTTGCAGCTAATGTCATTGTGGCCAGGTTCATTCACTCGTTTCTACGAGGGATGCTTTTCATTATCTACCTGTTCAAAATTATAGCACGAATTCACTTCATTAACTGGGTTGCGCGGGTGAAGACTGCGCAACGAGATCGTGAAATGCATGACATGCACGAAGTGCTAGAGTTGCGTAGACATATGTTGGGACAGCATTGAGAATATCGCAATCGGCCGCATCATTCATTTCTCGCAAATGGAGATTCATGGCATTCTTCGACCCTTGGATCTGTCGGTTTCTTACAAAGCTGCCCTATTCACAAATTGTAAAAACTAAGCCAGATTCACTGATTTTCAAAGAATATCGATGAAGGCTAACAATGAAATAAATGATTCATTAGCAATAATGTTTAGTAATGTACAAATGTTCTACTTAGAAGAAGACGGGAAAAAATGACCGATGTTTGAGCGCTTGACTGGACGCACAGCCCTGTTCCGTTTCATAGAGTCTAGAAGCTCTTTCTGAATCTCAGCAGGGAGTTCGGCCAAAACCTCCTCATCGATCTCATCTTGCCTGTACTCCCAGCTGCCAGAGGGCCTCTTTAAGACGTTCCGCTGCCAGAGATCCTTCAACTTGGGTGATGATGTTGCCTTCGCCACCAGCGAACCATGACCACCTGCACTACTTGGTGGATTCACATTCTCGGCCAAAGGTTTAGACGATGAGCGTGCTAAATGTGAGTGCACGACCCCTGATGCCTTCTCCTCAGTTTCTATTCCAAGCGCACAAGGGTTAAGTGTCGCTTCATATTTCATTCCTAAACTGATATCTACGGGGTGCGAATCAATACTGACTACGGCGCAAGTATGAGAATCTGTTTCTACTCTACAGTGTACGGAGAGATGATCTTCTACGGGTGAGCATTGTATCAAGGCTCCGTCTAAACTTGAACACGGATTTGCAATACAACCCCTTGGAATTTCGTGATCTCGAGATAATTCTAAGGAGCTCTTCTGCCGCACAGGACTACCAATGCAACCAAAAGACGGAGTACACTTTACGTCGAAATCAGGATTTGCGTCGTCATCAGAATGAAAAAGGTTTCGACAACTGGGTCGCTCCCCTGAACTGCAAGAGATTAAAGTTCCACATTCCTCATCTTTGGTAACACCATCTGAGAGGAATCCCGCCATCCCTTCAAGGTCGTCACTCGAAGGCATTCTGCACATGGTAGGGGATACTGGTGAGCTCGCAGAAAGGTTCGCCTCTGGAGATCGTGGTGGTGCTGCAAAGAAGCTTGTGATAGAGTTCACTCCCTGTCAATCAGAATCACAGTCAACTAATAATTTCGTAAAGTTCAGAGCATACTTTTGGAAAGTTGCCAATGATCTAACTTGTTCGAATAATGTATGATCGTCATAAAGTTACCGTGGGTATGGTCGATATGCCCCCTGCTCCAATAGATAAAGCCGTGACTGCCCACTCGCATTTGCTGTTGCTACTACCCTTAACAGGGGAAAGGCTTTTGTTCACAGGGCAGAAATCTCGAAGACCACGTTCAAAGAGAATGCGTGCATCGGCAAGTATCTTTTCTTTTCCGTAGCGGATGGGACATGACTTGGAAGGAAATTTCTTTCCAGGCTGGGGATTTCCTCCACGCTGCAGCCAGCTAACCACAATCACTGTTAGGGATGCTTGGGTGCAGGACTGCAAGATATAAAAAGCAGAAAGTGAATAACTTAAAGGTGACCACTGTTGGATTGTAATAGTGCAGTTCAAGTTTGCGTACCAGCTGAACAGCTGCATGGAACACAAGAAGTTTGGCTTTCCGATTATGTACTTCCAAGTCAATATCAAGCTTTTCTTGGAGTTCGTCGCACATTTCTCCAAGCCAATACATAACCTGTATTCCCAAAATCTCAGGAATTAAGGAATGCATACACGAAATTCTTTAAAAGTTCAATTCAAAGCTACTCTGGGTGTCCAACATAGGAAAAACACGAGAAATTACTCGAAACCATTAAATATTTAAGACTGTACCACGACATTCTCAAGGACATCCAGATTTTGATTTCGTATGCGTGCAGGAGATGTAGTGTGCGCGCTAGGAATTGAGAAAATCAAACTGACTAAAAAAATACGTATGAAAAAAGTCATAGAAAAACATGTAACTCACAGAAGTCATATTCGTCAGTGCTGTGCGGCCTGCAAACGTTTTACCACAACTAATGCTTTTCGGGAGAACTTTGGCTTTCACCTCGTCTCCGTTCTTACCCCGCGCAACGTCCCATAACCAATTGCTGCAAAGACAATTAGAACTTCAATTTAACTCTCAATTAACTTCCGAAACCTTCAGTGGCTCAAATGGTAACATCCAATAGAGGGTCTACAATCCCGTGATACTGTGTAACACTCAAACCTATTGCAATATATTGCAGAAGAATAAAACATACATACCCAGTATTGACACCATAAAGCTCTTGCAATTTCAGCTTTGAAAATTGAATCAGATCACCAGGTGTTTTCACACCAAGATCTTCTGTCAGAGATTTTCCAAGCTTGCCTCCTAAATGTCCACTACAGCAGTACAAGTCCAACGCATCATTAAGTGTAAGGAAGTTGCTAGCTTTTCAATAAGTGTAATAACTCCAGATATTCGAGCTATTCCTCCTGTCGTCTAAAATAACAAGTCTAGAGTTATTGTACAAAATCAGATCATTGACCAGCTAAGAGCCCCAATTTAGTATCGAGAGATTAATCAAACACAGGACGTGTTGTGTCAGGAGGCACCACATGCACAAAAGAGATACCTCTTTCAGTGCTTTAAAAAGGAAACCCTATTAAGTATCTTAGCTGCCTCACAGACAGCTACTCACATCTTTTTTAGAGGTATCGTTGCCAGCAGTGTAGGAACATAAGATGATGGTATAAGAGTTTGCTGAGCGGGCTTGTGCATACTGCTTGTGAGTTTGGCCAACATCTGCCACTCATTAAAGAGGGGAAAAAGCCACTTTTAGATCCCATCAGTCAAAATAGAACTCAAAAGTAAATAGCTCAGCCCTAGTTTTTAGCCCATTATATGTTGCACCCAATACCTTGTTGTGGCCAATACCCGCTGAGCAAGTGAATTGAGTTTCTGCCAAAACTGCAGCACGTAGCTCAGCAACGATTAGGGCCCCACATGCGAGCAGTGCATCACACCTGGGAACGTTGCTTTGACAGAGCCATTCGCCAGCTGTCATTGCATTTTCGCCATCCTGTACCGCATTGATCTCCAGTAAGAATCTATGGTCTTCTTAAAACCGTTAGTGAGTGCTTATCAAGAGCTCCATCTTCACCTAAAGTTAATTGACGCCCATCAGCTCAACCCATAACAGTGTATAGATGCAGACACAGCTTGGTACTCACTTCTTCAAGACCTAGAATGTGTGTCTTTCGGGCTTCCTCTGAAAGTGTCCCAAGGGAAGGAAGGCCCTTAATCAACCTGGCAGCTGCGGCTTCCGTGATGTCCAAATAAACCTCATCAATGGATGCCCTCTCACAAATACCTCCACGAGACAGTACTTCAACCACCTGTTTGCTACGAACCAACACTCAATACTAGAAGAAGCATTTATTCCTACTTGTTTTCCCACAAGTGATTACAAGAGATGGATAGAATATGCACTAAATTTCTAGTTTACAGCTTCAGCGGAGAATACTACATCTGTCAACATGATCCTACCTCGGTGCCAGCATCACGGTAATAATTGACGTTGGCGTGACCGTGTGCCGTCGGCACCTGCACCAGCTCTATGTCTGGGCACATCTTCTTTGCATCATCGCCTCGCATACAGCTGTGAGTCAATCAAATCCCCTAACTCAGTGACACAATCACATAAAACACCATCATAATTGCACATGGTGCAAGAGAGTTAACACGAGATTGCAATTTCAGTGCGTCAGACAGAGTGTTTTGAAATAATAGTAAAACGTTGGTGCAATCAAATTCAACAACTTGAGAGGATGGAAGGTCAAGTATACAGTAAGCAAGAGACGAGAAGAGCAAGCACCGTAAAACACCGCATTTGCGAGCTTCATAGCTGACGGCAATAAGACCCCCTCCTTTCCATGGATTGAATTGCACCACGGCTACGGGCTTCCCACGAAGCTCTGGACGTTTCCTTTGTTCTACTGCGGAATCAATCAGTTCACAAAAGATCAGTCACAGGCAACGTTGAATCACCATGACAGAAGACAATCATATGTGCATTTGGAAACTCAAAGAAGCACAAATGCGACAAGAACGAACCCTGAACGTAGAAGCAATCCAGATCAAGATGGGCAATGACTCGAGTCTCGCCCGAATCTGGTCGAGCCACCGGCATTGTAAGACTTGCCTTCCGAAGACTTCAACACCTAATCAAAAATCCAGCTCGACTCCACAACACAACCCTGCACAAACGACCCACATATTCATGTAACATTCTTCTTCTTCTCCTTCTTTGTCTCTTTTTTTCTTTTTTCTTTACTTTTTTTTCCCCCCAACTTCGAAACAAGAGATACTTGGACAGAGGGGCAAGTCAAGAGAGCAAAAGAATGACCAGAGACACTACGACATACAGGAAGAGCGACAAACCAAAGCACAATTCAAACCCAACTGCGAAAACTACCCAGAAGTGGCGCTGAATCGACAGGAGGAGCAAAATCACTCCACAATCGCGACGAGAACTCAGTGACCCCTAGAAACACCATAGTATCTCCCGCGCTGCACATGACATACGAGCTCGCAATCCACGCAATAACGTGCTCAGAAAAATTCCACCTCGTGGCTCGTCGCAGGGCCTGCATTCAAAGCCACATCACCCAACCAAAACCGAGCCGAAAAAGATTCAACAACACGCTTCAATAACTAAATTTTGAATTATATAAAAATAACGCTTTTTTATTTTTAGAAAAAATACATAAAACATTTTAAGCTATGCAACCTTTGCACACATGTGAGATTTTTTTATATATATATTAGTGAATATGACAAAATATAAGAAGATTGACAAACATCAATAACATCTAATTTCATGTCAAGTTATAAAACTAGTATTGTAATATAACGAATTTAGTAATTGCCTTTTTGTAAAAAAATTTAAATTTAAAGTGAATACAAAATGCTTGTGAGTTTCATAAAACCATGGCCAAACTTCTTCTATCCCAAACAATCACAACTAATAATTCAGATTGATTATCATAAGATGTAATTCTTCAAACTGATTTTATAACAATGAATTTACCTAAAATTTAAACGGATTGAATAAAAATGACGATACATTATGAGAATTTAACAGAGACCAGAGCAAACAAACTTCTATTGTATTAGTTTGACAGTTTACTAGAATAATTTGATCACACACTTAAACACATTCTGTTAAAACAAAGAAAACAAATAAAGTTGCAGAAGTCCATCAAATGGATGTAAAATCGTCTTCATTTATGGTTCACATCCATCCATCAACGCTTTGGTTGCTGGACTCCCTCCAACCACGTGAAGGCTCCACGTGGACCCATTCTAGTCCAGTTCAGCACATTGTAAACCCTAGCGAGCTTGCGTGGCCTTGAAGTGAAGAGAGGCTCCCATCGAGCAGCTATGGAGCTCAGAAACCGTCGCTCTTGTTTGGCTATGGGGGGAGGGAGCTGCGGACTGTGCAGAAGCCCAGGGTCGTCTCATCGGATTTTTTTTTATTGTGTGTGTATTTTTAGAAGCATGATTGTGTGCGCAGGAACTCCTTCGTTTAAATTATTAGGAATTAATGTCTTCCGACATTTTCATGAGCAGTGATCCAGGTGAGTAGCAGTATAAGGCTGCTGGCTGTGACTCTGCTGCAAAGGCTCGTCGATTCAGGGACGAGCGTATGCTAGGTTGGAAAGAACTCCATTTCGATCAAGTGATTGCCAGTTTTTGGCTGCTGTCGAGACGTGCTGGAGTTGAATTTGGAGGAGTTTATTCGGTGCGCTGCACAGCTCGTTGAGATTGTGGTTTAGACATGGATTGTGGATCGGGTTTATTAGTGATCTTGGATTGGAGTTGATTGCCTTGTGAGTTATTGACGAGTCGGATCCCGAGGTCAGGTTTATTTATAACAGGGGACGCGCTCGGGACTTCGTTACAGGTCACCAGGTTTGCTTCGTTTTTTCGGTACAGGCCCCTGGAGGCCTCCGTCGTTTGTAACCTTTTAGATCGAGGTTTTATGGAATGTCCGTGCAACATCAGAATTGTGTTTGTTTCTCATCTTATCTACTTGCATTTGCAACCCCTTTCCCCGATACAATACTTGATTGATTTAACTGGTGTAGGTAAACCTGATGACATTAAATGCCCTGAATCTTCATCTCTTGAAGGAGGAGCCGTAAAGGACGAATGTAGCGAAAAATAAATCCTGATACTACCGCAGCCCCAGCCACCAGGAAGTATTGAAATCATGCGTGAATGTATCTACTGCTTTAGCTGTAGGGGACATGGACATTCGGCTGTTACATTTTTCTCCGCTAGGCAATTGATACACTGTGGTCTGATTTGTTTCACTGGTGCGCTTTAATGTGTGACTTAAACTTGCGAATGTTAAGTGATCAAGCAGGTCTTTGTTCGAGGAAACTGTTAAATTTAACACGAGGAAGTTTTCATGGCTCAGAATGTAGAACGTAACAACCAACGGATGCGCAGGGTACACACTGGGCAGATGCAAAAAAACTGGTTTGTTCCGGACTTCTAAATGATGTAAGTGGAAGAATCTCATCTTGTTAATTTCTTTTATTTGAAGACTCTTCAATTCAGCCGAGATGTCATTCTCGTGTCATAAATAGTTGCTGTTCTGCATGAGGGCACGTGGGGTTTTTGTTGATTTGAAGCTTTTAATTGCTGCAGTTGATAATTCTACTCGTTCACTCCTGGGCAGTTCTTGTAGCTTTGAGTTTTGAGGGTTTAGAGTGTTCTGTGATTAGGGTTTGAGCAATCTGCACCTGTACTGACATGGAGAAATCCTTTTATGTCGCTCTTTCCTTGTGTGTGAGGTCATCATGGAATTTCTTCTTGGCTTCACTTTTCTCTATGTTATATGCATGATTTCTCACTGAATACTTGTTTTTTGTTTTTTGTTTTTTGTTTTTAATCTAATATCGTTTAATTGATAGGTGATAACTTCAATAACTTGCAGGGCTCGAGGTTTTCGTGCCACATTATTACCCTGTGTTGCTATTATTGCCTGAGGCGTAATTTACATATTGTAAAGATTTAGCTAATGTGTATGGTCCATGTTCTATAATGTCCGTTGATCTACCAGCGCTTGGTTTTCCAGTACCTAAAATACTTCCGCAGTAATTCTACTCCCAGCTACTCACGATGGGCGGGGATCCTGAAATGTGAAACGGCTCCATATTTCTGAACGGGTTTTCTGTTATGTACCATGAGCTATATTATTTCGAGGACTTGCTTTTTTCCTGTCGCTGCAGATTAGCGTGGAATCGTTTTGAGACTTGTATTATAAATCCTCCTTACATCAGGTGGACACAATGCAGCTTTTGCTGCTTGTAAGATCTTTCGAGTCATGTATTGCAATTGCTTGCATTACATGATGCATTTTTATAATGGATAAGTTAATAGAAGTCTGTTTGAGGATCATGCTGCTGCAATTGTCATTATCAAGTATAACGTGGGAGATTTCAGGGCTCCTTTTGTGGGTTGTGTTCGTAGATTGGCAGCTTCAACCGTGATTGATCTGGGGGTCCAAATGGTGACTTTCCGTCACTAGCTTTGTCTCTGATTATAGATGGTGAATCGGGGAGAATGTTAATACGAAGTGATAATTCAACCGCTGAACTGCTACGAATATCACCAAAAGACACGAGCACAGTAATCTATGAAGACCTGCATTAGAACGTTGACTACTTAAGACAACCAGTGTAGCATGCATCTGATAAGTTGTGACTTTGTATTTTATTGTTTATATTATAAGCTCGACTTATTCCCAGAACCGACACAGAAGATGTTTCAGCAACTGGTGCTGTGTACGACAATATCCCACGAATATCTGTTGAAGCTGTCAAAGTGCACGGACACGGTCGGTGAGTAGGCCATTCCCACAAACAGAACCACGTGTAAAGTCGAGTCAGACTTCTCCTAAGCAATGGAGTTGTTACTCTACTGTGCAGCTCCAGAATCAAGTTCTTTCGCTAGCTTAATGAAGAAAGAAATCCTTCGGTGTTGGGTGCTTCCAAAGCGAATCCCTGGAACGAAATCACACAAAAATTCGATTCTTTAACAGGAAAGGGTTCTTTTTGTCGTCAACAATTATCATGTCTACATGGTGTGCTACGGCTCCTACCCCTGTTCTACAAATAGTTGCATGTGCAATAATAAATCATGACATTCAAATCACTCGAAATTACGGAAACGGTCCAAATTGAAGTAGTGGTTACGAATCTCTCGGATGTGGCAACAGGGCCCTATTACTAGTTGGCGCACACTTGCCGCCTGTCAGCAGCGCAGTCGGATTTCTCTGTCCGAGAGGAGTCCGTTTTAAGTCCTAGTGACTCGGCATGAAAGCTGCGCCGTGTTTGTAGTGAAGAGTGTGGTAACTGAGTCCCCGCCTTTACCGTAAGGACCTCTTAAATGCCAGTTAGGAGTCTAAAGGGACATCCGTTCTAGAAATATGGAAGGCTCATTCATCAAGCGAAAATACTGTTAAAAGAAAATGCTGTGTTAGCTCCTCTGTGGCCCGTGCTCGTTGTTCGTTGTCCAGGAGCCCAGAAACATAGATAGGAGGCAGTTCACAAAGCTTCATCATCAGGATGGATCTTGCCACGTAATGGAGGAGGCGGTGAGGGCGGTGAAAACGACACCTACATGGTTTTTATTTTATTTTTTATTGAGGTTTTCACGCAACCCTGGATTGGGTGATGGATGATGATAGTCTGGTGATGAAGCCCGCGGACTCACAGAAACGATGGAGATTTGTGGAGGTGGCAATGAAGAAACATGTAGCGATTGATCCTCATTGCTAAATTTGATTTGTGTAGTTTCAGTGGGAGCAGTAGTAATGAGGGGGAGCGGTTTGGGTGTTTTGTGACGAGTTCGGGGGCCAGCTTTCTCTGCATTCAATCAAGCGGATGATCTTTGCACAAGTATGTTACGAGTTCTTCCGTTGTGGTTGTATGATGTCAAGAGGGAAAGAGAGGACGCCCGTGATGTAAGAAGATTAGACTTCCGCCCTAACCCTCTTCTGCGTTTGGTCGATTTGTTGAACGTTTGAGTGGCGGAACCTGAAAAGTCGATTGGACGTTCGTGTAATTTGGGAGCTCGTGTGGTGGTGGGATCTGTTTTGAAAGAGGAAGGAGAGAATTCATTAGGTCTGAGGTGGTAAGCGAGGATGGTGAGCTGGGTGCTGATTGATACGAGGGTGATGTGGGAGGAAGATCCGTAAGACAGATTCGATTGCTTCATGGACAATGCAAAAATCGTTTTGGCTGTGAGTGAAGTGGAGCATTTCTAAATGAAGTTTGGAGTTGCAAACACTTCCAGAAAAGGACCGGATTAAGCCAATTATTTAAGATTTATTGTTTTTCAGCTGAGTAGATGAGGCTTTCACTCTAGTGCCATTAGTTGAGTGCGAAAGTCGCTTCAGGACCATGGAGTAGGAGCGCTAAATTAAGGTGGACGTGCTGATACATTTATGAGGAGGACATCAAGGACGTCCATTCATTTGAGATTATGTGACTGCGTAGTTTTTCCAAGTTAACATTCCTAAGCAATCAGCAGTTCTTCCTTGTGTTCATACCAGGAATGCTTAGTTCGCATTTTTTCTCTGCAGTCCCAAGTCTTTGTTTTTTCTTCGTGCAATCATATAGGTGCTTCAGAGAAAAAACCCAGATTTAAAAATGATCGTGCACATCGCTTTGGTACCTAGAACATATTCCGAGAAAAGTCTGCCATTGATTATATCCGTATCCAATGGAATTTTTCTGGTTTTGCACCAAACATGTTTGTTTTAGAGTACAAGAACTAGCAGCGATTAGTCGTGACGTTAGGTAGGGATACCCATTCCGTAGCGGAAGCTCTGAAGAACTGTCTTCTACTTCTGATGTAGGCTGAAGCACCTTGTTTTTCTTTCGTTGGTCTCTGATAAGTATTTGCTTAGAATTAAGTTATTTAACTCTGTGTGCCCCTTGCATCACGCCGATGTGTCTAGATTGCGGGCAGCTGTTAACGCTTAGCAGTTGGAGCTTAACGTCGGTGGTCAAACCGTGTATACGTAGTTTTCCATGTGTTGATTTTACAGAAAGATCCTTTAGTGTTTACGACATCTTTTCGTTTCTTCCTGGTTCGGCCTTGTTCTGGTGGATTTAGAACAAAGAAAAAAGAGAAGAGAAAATCATTTGCACAGTTTATCAGGCTTGCAGTTCAAAATGTAGGACGCTGGATGATTTGTGGTAGATTATGTTCCACCCACATTTCTTTCTCATGTTGGTTTGTTTCTGAATTTGCAGAGGGGTTAGAAGATGGGTGACAACAGAGAAACTCATACGGGAAACAAGTCTGTCACGGAAGCGAGGGGTTTTGAATCCTTAATGCAAGATTCTAATCTTTCCGATGATATGCCCCCACTTCAGGTGATGGTTGATGATGATGGGGGTGTCTCGGCAGATCGCCCTCGTAATCACAAGGCAGACACACCACTGAGGGTAGCAGTTCACAATAACGACGATGGGGACGAGAATATGTCAGAGGAGGAGCAGGAGTCGTCAGAAGAGCACGTAGGAGGATATGAGCGCGAGGAAGAGGACGAGGAGGAGGGTGGAGAAAATCCTATGGAGGAGCCAGTGGTGGAAGAGCCTGACACGCTGTCAAACCTGCGTATCATCGCTCATGTCACGGATGGCATGTCAGATTCTGATACAGGGGAGCAGTTAGCTTTCCCTGAAGAGCACGATGATGACGAGAGCGACGAGGAGCATGGGGAAGCCCATGAAGATGCTCCTGAGGAGAATCACAGAGAGGACCTTGATAGAACCCGTGAAGATGTCTATTGCGTAATCAACGAAGAAACCCAGGAAGATTATGATGACAACGACGAAGTGGATCATTATGAGAAGAATGGGGAAAATCAAGCAGTGGCTTATGTATATGGTTATGAGGACTCTCGTGGAGAAACCTATGGGGATCAACAGCGTGAAGATGATACGGGCCTACAGGAATATGATCCAGGATCGAACCAACCCCTGAAAGCCGAGGAGTTGCAAGACCTCATTAATCTTGCCGAGGAGTTCGAAGGTGAGAATACTGAAGAAGGCGAAGAGCTAATCAGTATGAATGGAGCAGCGCATATGGAAGGAAATGTTCTAGAACGAGCAGCAGGTGGGGATGAAGGCAACAGTGAGCAGCAAGCTCAGAAGGACGAGACTCACTCGAAAGAGGAGTTGCGGCAAGCAGATCATTCGTATGGTATGACAATTAAGAACCATAGAGATCCTAAACTAACTAAACGGCCACTAGGAAATATTATTGGAAAGAAGAAAGCTCCTTCGTTTGTTGCACAAGGTAAATTAGCCAGACCATCTACTCCCTCTGTTTCTGGTGCTCATCCTGCATCGGATGGACCATCTGTGAGGGCATCGCGTGCTAAATTGACAGTGCCACAGCCTTTCCGTCTGGCAACGGAGAAGAGAGCGTCCTTGGGAGGACGTCCGGCGGAGACAGAAGCACCTAGGCCACGTACCTCTAGTAGCCTGGTCAGGAAGTCCCATCCAGCGTCTGCTGCGAAGACTGTCAGGAATTTTGGAGGAATCAGAGCTACTTCGACAGAGATCTCGAAGGAAGACCAGGACGCGCTTAAGACGTTGGAGAAAGATATGGAGGCGAAACTGGAGGAGGAGATGGCTGCTCTTAGTATTAAGTCCGGGAATGCGTCCGGGTTTAGCTTCAAAAGTGACGAGCGGGCAGAGAAGCGACGAGAGTTCTACTCCAAATTGGAAGAAAAGATGAAAGCCAAGGAAGAAGAGAAAAGTCAGATTCAGGCCAAGAGCCAAGAAGAGCTGGAAAATAAAATGAAGCAATTGCGAAAGAGTCTTACTTTCAAGGCTACTCCCTTGCCAAGCTTTTATCAAGAATCAGGGCCACCGAAAGCAGAAGTGAAGAAAATTCCCCCAACTCGGCCGAAGTCTCCTAAACTCACCTCTGCAAGGAGAGGCAGCCTGATGGGAGATCATGAAGGCTCAAAATCTCCAGTGGCGAGGATCAAGAGCGACTTAAGAGATCGCGCATTATTTCTGCATCAAAAACCTGCTGATTTAGCCGACGAAAAAAAGCCAGTCAATATCAAGAAGCCAGTGACTAAAGTTCCGTCCACGGACAAAGGTGCAATACGTCCCAAGGCCAATGGTAGTGCCGAAAAAGAAGCAAAAGCGAAAGCAGCTAGTGTTCTGCCTTCTCCCCGAAAAACGCCCACCTCGGTGATTTCAGAGCCTCGGACAAACAGGGCTGAGGGACAGGTACAGAGAGTTGATAGAGGGAGGAGGACAGATCTTAGGAGGTCTCTACAGAATGGCGTAACTTCAACTGATCGTGTTAAGAGTTCTGATAGAGTTGAAAATAGAAACTCTAAACCGTCTGGAAGAGTAGAGAAGGTGGACTCTAAGGATGGGATCAAGAATTCACTACCAAGGCGTTCAAAACCTAATGGGCCTACAACATCTGGTTCAGGATTATCCAAACGTGACATAGGGGAAGCTGAGCCTGTGAAGCTTGTATTTACTACACCAAGCAAGGATGATCTGATGAGTTTGGAAGCCGAACCTCTTAAGATTGCGATTGTTGAACCAACCGAGGACGAGCTGACACCAGTTGTTCTAGATGTGGCAGTTACATAGCGTGAGCGAGAGCGAGGGAATGTACTGTTGTGAAGCTTCTGTATAAGTTGTGATATTAGTGTTATATACTTCGAGAGTCTATAAAGTAAAGTAGGGAAGCTGCATTTTTGCAAGTAGTGAACTCATTGTTAATACCGCAATGAATTTCTGAACTGCTGGTAGCTCTTGTTGAATTGACTGAGAAATGCAGATGTTCTTGCTGTGGTGAATGAATCAGTGCTTTCGATAGAGATGAGATCTAATCCTAAGAGTTCTCATCACAATCTTGTAACATATGAAGTGTACAAGTGAGCGCACATGTGCATTTTTTATTATTATTAACAACTCCGGATTTGTAATCAAGTACAAATGCTGAATAATGCTACCTTTAATGAGTTTCCCAGCTTTTGGGAACTACTGTATGCTGATAAACACTTTTTCTTTCTTTTATCAGATTAATAAATACTACTTTAATTTTACATATTTTCATACAAAAATTACAAGCTTAAAACATTTATATATTTCATTCATCAATAATCCAGTTTTATGAAAAATGTATGTATTTGATTCTTGCAACATAAACATAAAAAAAGAAATGTTTGTTTTAATTGTGGCTTTGTTATTTTGTACGCAAACTAAATTTCTATGGTACTCACTTTATTTTTTTGCATCACATAATGTGATTTCTTTCAAAATGCATATGTAAATATATTTTCTTTTCTTTTCTTTTTAAATAAGAATTTTATAGCAAGGAATTTTGTAATAACATGAAGAGATTATTATTTTAAATAATATATATGTATATTAGAAAGTTTTAAATACTTCTAATATAATTCTTATAACTTTTGGAAACCTTCTTTTAGTAAAACCATTATTTAAAAAAAAATTATAGTACCAAAAAAATAAAATGAGGACCAAATAAGTTTCATTTTATATACTAGTTATCCAAAAACAATTATCACCTTAGAATCTAAAATAATAATTTAAATTAACACTTTATTTAGAAAAAAATTCATAAATTCATATATAATAATATTACAATAAAATTTGAAATTATTTGTATTTTTTCATCACAACATTTGATTATATATTTTTATTAGACTTTAATTGTTACAAAAGAATTTAATTTTTTAATGAATAGAAAATTTCATAATAAGAGATTTTAAAAAGAAATGTGAAAGCTTGAAAATTATAATATATCATAAATAAATATAATAATTTTAAAAAATCTATCTTTGTAAAAAGTTAAGGAGAATGATAAAGCGACCCAAATTAAAATAACCCACTCTATCTTAAGCATCATTGCACCTTTAAAGCCCCATCCCTATTCCTAGCCGTTTCTTGTTTCCAACAATTGTTAGGGATGGGGGCAAGGGCCTAGGAATATTGGGAATGGGAGCAACAACTAGAAATAGGGCATGTAGGTCAATTTAGTAAAAATTTGGGTAGTTGTATCATTTCCCAAAGATAAAATTTAAGTTATTATAATTTGATTTAAGTATAAAATATTTAACTCTTTTAGATTATAGAACAAGGGAAAACAAGGGAGAGAGGGGAATGGAGGGGTTGGAACAAAGAAGGCTGGGAACAAAGAGAGTGGGAACTAGGAACTATGGAGGTTGGGATGAAGGCTATGATTGTGATGATGGTTTCTACAGATGATTCATTTTTCTAATGATGGTTACAATAAGATGGGTCAATTTAGTAAATGGGTGGATCATTTTAACAGACACATACATACATATATATACATATATATATATATATATATATAGATTTATTTGACTTCAATTTTAAATCAGATTTTTTGAATCTACTTTCTATGATCATGGCCACAATTTACTTACAAATTATTCTCTATCTACTACATTTTGTCATAAAAGTTAGTGTTATTGTTTTTATATAATTCTTTCTTTTTAAAAAGTGTATGGATATAATCCATAATTCCACGTTGATGTAAAAAATAAAATATAAAGTCCAATAAGTTTAATTGAAATCAATAATAAATAAATATATACATATATATATATATATATATATATATTAAGATTCTTGATAGATGTCATTATTATTTTATAACCAAGTCTTATCATCTAATTCAAAATAACATTCTAAATTATATCCAAATAACATTCTAAATAATGTGTAGTATAAATTTATTTTTATCATTTTTATTTCAAATATTTTGTAATTTTTTTATTTTTAAAAAATTAATTAATTCAAAATTTATCAATGTATCTTAACAATAAATTGGAACACAATATAATAACTAAATTGTTTTGGATAGAGGTACAAGCTGACTTGGATTTTTTTTTTTAATTTTGTCTTTATATATACAAGACTAAATATTTTGATCCAAGGTTCTATTAATTTATTGTCGAAACCAATGGAAGAATCCTTGCAAAGAAGCTTGTAATAAGACTTGTTGGCTAAGTTACCCAAAAGGTTTGTTGACTGAATTTAATTATTTTATTAAAAAGTTATTAAATTGTTCCAAAAACTTACAGAAGAATGGTAAAGCTTATGTCAATAATACAAAATATCTCATCCATAGACAAACTAAATTAGATTAACTCTAAAAAAAACCACACTTTTAGATATATATATATATATATATATATATATATATACTAAAAAACAAGCACTGCACAATTTACAACAATTAGCAATAGTATTACTCCAATCAAAGATTAATTGGACTTTTGATTTATAAGGATTAAACATTTTATAATCACGACATAACAATAATACTTTAATCTTTTTGAAATCATGTTGCTTTACATGAACACAAACAAACCACAATAAAGAAAAAGATAAGAAAATAATTATCAGCATTTAAAAAGAAAGTCAATAACTTTGTACATGTCACAAACACCTTCAACAACTTCTTTTCTGAAATAACTAGCTTCACAAATACACATAGTTGTCATTATGAGCACAACAACACATCTTTACTATCAAAAAAAAGTTGGGAATGACAAAACCTTCACAAAACAATGGATGACGTTTTCACTCAATTCATAATCAGGTGCTCCCATGTCAATTCTACCAACTTGATTGAGAGAAATCCTATGAACAAATGATAAATCCCAATAAAGAAGTAGGCAAAAAGTGTTAATTAGGGTTATGAGGTGCATCCTATGTAGCATGGAAGGATGCCATGAATCTCAACCGCCGAGAAAGCCCATTTCGCTTTGTGTTCAAACGAGCTCCCACGCTATGCATTTTTCACCCGCTGGCTTCTTCTTCAAGTCGCAAACAGAGGATCCTACCGACGCAGTAGCATACAATTCTCATGCAGTGCAGAAGCTTGTGGACTCTTGCGTGTTCTGAGGCTTGCAGGAGTGTTTTTGTATTTTTGCTAGAGCCCTGCGATTCAGTTGCTCATGTTTTATGAGGTTTTTCACAAGGGTTTTACGAGTAGGCCGGGTTTGATAGAATGGGAGTGAAGGTGGTGAGGGAGGGAGTGGTCGGATGAGGTAACTCGTTGCTAGCTTTGCGAGTGGAGGAGATTGAGGGATTGGTGTTGAGGTTGTGGCAGGGTTTAGGTTGGAGACCATGCGGTGGTGTGGTGTGGTGTGGTTGGTTGATCCATTGTAGACAGGGAGGGAGGAGGAGAGAGTGTGGAGGAGAGAGTGTTGCGGAGTAGATTGGAAGGAGGGAGGAGACATTGAGCTGCGATGGCAACTCCTGCACCGCAGAAGCCATGGAAGTCGGAATATGCGAAATCGGGAAGAGCTTCCTGTCGCACTTGCTCAAGTCCCATCGCCAAAGATGCGTTTCGCCTCGCCAAGATGGTGCAATCCACTCAATTCGACGGCATGATGGCTGTATGTCCTCTTTCCTGTTGTCATTCTGCCGCAACTTTTCCTTGTTGGTTCGATATCTTGTCGGATTTCTGAATGTGACGCTTTTAGATGCCTTGGACTCACTGCATGTTGCCTTCAGGGGTTGGAAGTGCAACCGGTTCCTGCGGTTCATGTCACTAATTCGCCATGTGGGGATATGTGCTGCACATTGTGAAATTCGCGAACTGGCAAAGTTGGATAGGAAATGTCCCACAAGTTCTGAGATGATGGGAGGATTCTGATTCGGGAATCTCTTGCATTTTGAAATTAGGATTTAGTTGTTGATTCCGGTGTTTTTTGGTTGACAGTACTGGCATCATGCAGGTTGCATTTTCAAGAAGAAGAAACAAATTCATGAGTAAGTGCCTTGATCGTTTTTATAATCTTTAAACACTCAACTTTTTTGTGATGGATTGTCTGGGTAGAAAGAGTTTCTATGGGGTCTTCCAGTATCTGATCATGCTACGATTGAAGCCTGCACGATAAAACAGAGCTTATAAGTAATGAACGTTATCATGCGGCCAGAGTACATTATCTGACGGTAATGAGGATTTTTGGCAGTTGGAACGATGTTGAAGGAGCTGACACTCTCCGATGGGAGGATCAGCAGAACCTTCGCAAATTCATTGAAGGTCAGTTTTACTACACCGTCAGCTTTGGGATTTATGAGGTTTGAATGCATACTATTTCCTCAACTTGAAAGCTGCTTAGATTCTTCAGTTTTAAAATCGTTCTTGTTTTGATTATCGTGTGGTGTTTGCAGGTGGACCTGTAGAGGATGCCAACGAAGAAGGTCAATCTGCAAAAGGAAAAGGAGCCAAAAGTAAAGCAAAAACTAAGGGCGTAAATGAAGATGGAGATGAAAGTAGTGGGGAGTACGCGATAGAAAACGCGAAAAGTTCGCGCTCAACTTGCAAAAGCTGCAATGAAAAGATTGACAAGGGCCAGGTAAGTTTTTGTACCTGTTCTCATAGAAATGACATCGTTACAAGTCTTCAAAACAACTTACTCGAATACGATGCTGGTACGGTGTCCCAACAAAGTGTGCTGGAACTTACTGGATTCTGGTTTTACATCAGTGCTCAATTCTTACATTAAACTTCCCACGCTTCAGGTGCGTATCTCTACTATGGTGGCCGCTGATGGTGGAAGGTTTCGAGGAAAAGTGCCACAATGGCGTCACGCGAAGTGTTTCCTTTCTATGGGTCATTTTTCGGGTCCGTTAGCAAGTTTACCTGGATGGGACACCCTTACGTCCGAAGACCAGGCCCAAGTTCAAACTCTAGCTAAACCGTCTGCTGGTAACCGTCTGCTGGAATGCTCAGCGTTTGATTTACTTATATGAATGTTCCTAGGAACCGTATCATAGTATCAACGCCCTAGGTTGAAAGGTCTTGCATTTATGTGTCATAATTGGATATATGCTGATGGAACTGAGAATATACATTGTCAATCACTTTTACATGGTTCATGTTATGTGAATAATGAGTTCTCGCGCATATTGATTCTGGTTTATTTATTATAGCGGCTAAGCGGAAAGAGGCAGTCAAGGAATCTAAGGCCACGACTGCGAAAGAACCTAAGGCTGGTCGTGGAAAGAAAACTCAAGCTGAACAGGATGAAACTGTTGAGAAGCCCAACAAACGTAGGAAGCAAAACGATGGTAACTACAGTAACTCTTGTTTAATCAATCAAATTGTATTTTCTGGCTCATTGACGTATACATACATATATATATATATTTCTCAATTGTTGACATTTATAACTTCTTTCTGCAGGAAAGGAAGCAAAGGCAACTGATGGTGTCGGTACGACAGTTGCTCCGAAGAAGGTGCCAAAGGCAAAAGGGCCTGTTACTGCAGGCAAACAAACCAAGCTTGATCCTGAATTGGAAAGTAAGTTGGAGAAGCAGTCAAAGAGCCTGTGGGAAATTAAAGATAAATTACGTGAACATGTGTCAATAGTGGAGCTCCGGGAAATGCTGGCTGCCAATAATCAGGATACTACTGGCTCGGAGTATGATGTGCGGGAGCGCTGGTTCGTTAATCTCATGTCACATAATTGTCTTTCGACATTAGCCCGCAGATCATTGGCTGTGTAGAAGCTAGCTTTATCTTGTTTTAAACTGAATTTGGGAATAGTTGGGTGTTCAGGACTTGTAAAGCATGATCCATGCAACGTGATGGAACAAGTAGGGCCGATTTTGCTATGTTTATGTTCTCACATGGTTGTCTGATTCATATGTGGACAGTGCGGATGGAATGATGTTTGGAGTCTTGGCGAAGTGTCCACTTTGTGAAGGTTATATGGAGTATCAAGGGGGATCATATAGGTGTCGAGGATATTTGTCGGCCTGGAGTAAATGCACCTTCACGACGTTGACACCCGAAAGAACCACGGCTAAGTGGGAAATCGGAGAAGCATGTGACAATGATTATCTTTTAGGGGTACAGCGTATACCATCAAACGTCCTTTTTGAGCTGGTCTATATTGGCTAATCGATCCAACTCAGTTATGTAGACCATCTTTCTAGACTCGTGGGTATCTTGAGTTCCTAATTTGATGATGTTGGATGGAAATTTCTAAACTGAAGTATTCAAGTTCTTGGCTTAGATACTTGAAGAAAATGCTCGAATATGTCCTCCAATGATTACGTAGGATTTTATAGAGCTTTACCAGCGTGCTGTTTAAACTGATGGTAACAATCAGATTTTCTGACTTGGTTTCAGTGGTATAAGACACAAAGCAAGATGAAAGGTGAGCGGCTGCTTGTGCCAGCATCCCAAGCCGAGCCCACCATCGCTGAGAAGCCTCGTAACTGCAGTGAATCATTTCTGGAGGGATGCGAATTCGCGGTTATTGGGAGGCTATCGATTACTCATGTTAGTTTCTTCTGTACTTGGATTTCCAAATATTTTTGAAGAAGAAAAAAATTATTACGCAAAATATTTTGCTACACAGATCGATCAGGGCTTGTTGATTAGCGTGTTTCTCTAGGTCTTTTCAGCATAGTCGTTATTTTTAGACGCACTATTTACAGTTTTAAAAAACGAAGTGTAGAGACTGCTGTTTGTTACTAACGCTAGGCAACAGGCGAAGCTGAAGGAAAAGATTGAGAAAGCTGGAGGTCGCGTTCGGTCTGGGGCTACTGGTATTGGAAACAGTAAGTTCCATTCTTTGTTGTTGTAAATTTACTCCTAATATTTTGTTATCCAGCAGCTTCATTTCTACCAAATGCATATTCGAAAATTTGTATGCAGTCCGTCTATACCTTATGGACCTAAGGTACACTAAAGTACACATGATATTTCGCCTGTCATCTTGTAGCTAGTGTGCCTTCACCCCTGTTTGTTCATGTCAACTTAATTCTAACTTCATCTGGGATGGTTACAGCTGTGACATGCGTTGTTACTACAGAAAATGTTGTTGAGGATGAGAAGCATCGTCGCGATTTAGAATATGCCAGGTGAGTTGTTGAAGCCCTTCCAAATGAAATCATACAACCGTCATCTGTCACTTTGAAGCCATGAATGAATGTTCACATAGTATGTGCGTGAACGTCATGATTGGTCATGAAGTTTCCAAGGGCTGAAGGTTTTTTTTGCATACAAACCTGTGGAAGGTTATGAAATATTTGAACTCAAGGATAGAGGCTGAGTTTATGCATGTCCTTTCGAGCTCTGTTTTTGCTTCTACACGTTGAAAATTGCATTACGTGTTTACTAATTCGTATGTCCAAATGATTGGTGCTGTTATATGTACAGGGCAGTGCCTATTGTGAAGGAACAGTATCTCCTTGATTGTTTCGAGAAGAAGGAGAAGCTTCCTGTGGACGGATACAGGTTGGAGATTGGTTCAAAGCCTTCTATCGTGAAAGTTAAGGTCAAGGGTCGAGGTGCAGTGCATGAAGACTCCGGGTTGCAAGACACTGGTCACATTGTTGAGGAAGGCAAAGTCATATACACAACAACCCTCAACCGCTCTGAACTCGCTACAGGAATTAACAGGTGCTGGAAATTGTAAATTGTACTCCACAGCCCAATTATTAGAGTGGTTGTGTTGCTAGTAGTTACGAGAATTCAGAATCATTGAAGTCCTGTATTATTTAAAATCTGAATGTCGTTTTCTCTGTTTAGTTTTTATGTTTTGCAGCTTATTGAGGAAGATGCAAAAAAGACAGTCCATCTGTACAGGAAATGGGGCCGTGTTGGTAACGACAGGATAGGCGGTGACAAGATAGAGAAATTGTCAAAAGCTGATGGAATCAAAGAGTTCAAGCGACTGTTCAAAGAGAAAACAGGAAATGACTGGGAGTCATGGGTGAATCGCGAAGATTTCGAAAAACAACCGGGAAAATTTTATCCTCTTGATATCGTAAGATTGGAACTAATCTCTTTTTTTCAACTGGAAGATGTGTTGAGAAGTTGAAATTTCTAATCCTAACAGGAACCCCGTATTAGTATCTATTAAATTTTTTTCTTACTCTGAAATAGTAGACATGAAAGTACTATAAAATCTCTCGCTCTCGCTATATATATATATAAACGTGTGTGTGTGTGTGTTGTTTTAGTTACTTGCAATCAATAATATTTTTCTGAGATTGTCATTCTGCAAATTATCTGTGCCGATCTGTGCTTGTACTCGCCTTTAGGACTACGGTGTGGATGAGGTGCCGAAGCCGGATAAGGCACTTGTTGGTTCAAAAAGTAGGCTGCATCCACGAGTCATCAATCTCATGAAGATGTTGTTTGATCTTGAAACTTACAAGTAAGGAAATCAGTCGAATAACTTCCTTATTTTGTCAATTTATCGGTATACACGCGGATGCCTAACTTGGTTTTAATCCCATGATTTCTGTTCAGTAGTGTCTACACATTGCATTCATTTGTGTCAAGTATTCTGAATATTTATTGAACCTGAATTTGTATAGCAGTGTCTTAACATAATCAGTGGAGGTGCTCGATTTCATGTGGTTGTAGTTCGTGCAAATTCTTGTTCTATGATGCTTCTTACGCTTCACTTGTTTCCTTGCCATTCATCCGCAGGGCTGCTATGATGGAATTCGAAATTAACATGTCAGAAATGCCTTTAGGCAAGCTGAGCAAACGCCATATTGAGCGAGGTATTCATATTGCTGCTTACGTTGACTATCCGTCTTCTTAACTGCCGCATCATACCCGATGTTTTGGAAAGCATGAGACTGAGTTTTGATATGCGTAGTTTGAGTGTAACACCTGTGATTGATTGCAGGTTATGAGGTGCTGACTGAGATTCAAAATATTCTGAAGGAGGCCGTACATGGTCCACGCGAGCAAGGATTGCTGGTTGATGCAAGCAACCGCTTCTTCACTTTAATTCCGACTGTTCATCCAATGATCATCTCGGACGAGCAGACATTGAAATCTAAGGTGATTTAAAACACTTTAAGGCTGCTGAATCAGCATTTTGGCCGTTATGAATCGTCACTGCGTTCGATGTTGGAGGCTGTTAGTATCATCTGTCTCATCTTCTAAGTCATTACCAGTATCCTTTGTATGTTATCCAAAATCTTCCCTTAAGCGCATAATATGTGATACACTATTTTCTTGCAGATCCATATGTTAGATGCATTGCGTGACATTGAAATTGCGTCAGAATTCTTGGGCTCAAAAGTAGAAGAAGGCACTGAGGAGGAGGATCCACTGGATACACATTACAAGAAGCTGCATTGTGACATTAGACCTATTCCACATGATAGCGGTGACTTCAAGCTGGTGGAGAAATACTTGAAACAAACTCATGCGCCAACCCACACAGTATGACTTCGGATATTTTTACTATCAAAACAGAACTGCAATTATGGTCTGCAAATTCCAGCTGTAGTCTATCCATGGATAGCACAGACCTTCGAGCATGTTTGCTTCTTCTTTGATGTAGAAAAGCATCATGAACTGTCCTGCTAGTAGTATGGGAATGATTGTTATCCTTGGGTTATTCCTGTCCTCGGCATTTCGGCTCCTGACTGTATAGTTCACGAACCGAATTAGTGGCTAGATCAACCCTCCACTATCTTACTGCTGGTGCTTATTGAGTTTCTGTAAATGATACATTTTTTTTCATAATTGTGACGTTACGCACATTAAATTTCTGTTTGAGATATAGTTTTCATATCTGCTAGAGATGGATCTCAAGTGTTCGTCTAATTGAGTGTTCGTAATGTAATTGCAGGATTGGGCTCTGGAGTTAGAGGATGTATTTGCTGTTGACAGAGAAGGAGAAGCTGATAGTTTTGCACCTTTTAAGATGTGTCTTGATAACCACATGCTGCTCTGGCACGGTCAGTTAACTTCGACGTGCTTCTTCAAATATGCTATGCAGATGACTTCCGCGTTTTTCTATCTGTTTTTGTCTTTGTCTATGTCTTTGTTTTGTTTTGTTTTGTTTTTGTTTTTGTTTTTTTGTTTTTGTTTTTTTTTGTTTTGTTTTTGTTTGTTTTTGTTTTTTCTAGTTTACTCTTTTAGGTAGAGAACAAAGGTATTCAATTCAAGTACTTTCGAACCATGCAAGGTGAGCTTGAATTGTTTGTTGTTGAGGGATTTGCAGGTTCTCGAACAACAAATTATGTTGGTATTCTGAGCCAAGGTCTGAGAATTGCTCCTCCTGAAGCTCCAGTAACAGGTTACATGGTACGTATCGTTCATCTTTCAATTTTAGAAATTAGCAGGCAAGAAGTCTGCGTGGTCTCTGCTCTTTTTAACATTTGTGGTTCTGTGTGTTGAGCACTGCTTAGCATTCGTAAGAACTTTCAGCATGCTGACCATTTTTTCCCTGTATTTTGATAATTTCAATCTTTTGGTTGTACCACGTGGTTTGCAAGGTTAGCTACAATGGATGTAACTCTACAATTAAAAACTCATTGCATTCAAGTTCAGGACCTGATTACAGACTCTGGTGTGTTCCTCAACTAACATCCTCTCTTGCCGTGCCAGTTTGGAAAAGGACTGTACTTCGCTGATTTGGTCAGCAAGAGTGCTCAATACTGCTATACCACAAAGAAAAATCCAACTGGGTTGATGCTACTCAGTGAAGTAGCCCTGGGTAAAACAAATAACCTCAAAAGCGCGAAGGTAGAGCACGTAACCTGCCTACTTCCTCATACTTCTACTCTGTGAACATCTCCGCACAGGCGATGATGCCATTTTAAGGCTATCTAGGCTTTGTATGATTTTGGGAGATTCGAAGGCTTTTGGGGATTCGCATACTGTTAGTTTTTCTAAGAAGCAAGTTCATCATTTGTGTGAGGTCCTAGGCTTGGAGTTTCAATTAAGCGCCGAATGATCGATCTTTTTTGCTTTTGTCTGCGTGATTCTTCCTGCAACTTTGCACCAATCATCGACTTCTGTGTATTGCACCTAGTCGGGCTGCGTTTATACACGGCATGTCTGATTTGTTTCCTAATATATGGTGCAGTATATGGAGAAGCCGCTTCGAGGAACTAACTCCACTCTGGGGCTTGGTAAAACGAAGCCACTTGAGACGGAGTTTAAGAAATTCGAAGGCGATGTTACCGTGCCATGTGGCCAGCCAGTACCATCTGGCATTCGAAGTGACCTCATGTATAATGAGTATATTGTGTATGATACAGCTCAGGTAATCTACCATCCTTTCTCTTTCAAGTCAAGTCTCGATTGTAATCGTTAACATTACGTTGCAACTTCTGACATGTATTGAAGCGTGCACTTCCCAGCTTTTTGGAGGTGTGTTGAGTATGCTGGTACGAAGGTAATGTGTCCATTGCTTTTGGTGCTCTGGCAGGTGAAACTACGATTTTTGTTGAAGGTCAACTTCAAGCACAAGCGCTAAGTTTCCCAACCATTTCCAGTTGACAACTCAATCCGAGGTGCTTTATAGGTTGCAACATGCACTTTGTGTGAAGTTATTGACGCCTCAGAGTGTAAATAAGATTTTTTTTGTTGATGTGTTGGGTGAGACATCTGTTCATCAGCACATGGGCTGCAGATGTATCCTTTTGACTAGGTCGATTTAAGTTTAGGTCGTGTACTGTCACTTTTTGCCAGTTGTGACATGGGATTTGACGCAGACTGATGCAGTCAGAAGTGTTGCGTCCTGTTTTTTTTGGATCTGATCCGCCCGGACTGTGAAGGCTCATTTTTTTAAGTTACTGAAATAGAACCCCCGACATCAGGCTTTTTCGTATGTATCTACCACCTCTCCATCTGCCACTATGTGTCTTGGAATCGGGACTTGGTTGTAGCATTGCCAAGCTACTATCCGCTCTGCGAGATCAATTTCTCGTGAATATGTTCATGGGTCTCGAAAACAATTTGAACGGCCTGCGTTGAAGGTTTTCTAATGAAGGCTTGATAACGTCATCTTTGGAATTTCTAATTATGTAATTACTTAACATGTGACTGTATTGTGTTCCTGGTTACCAGTTCTTGTGGTCTGCAATTTCTCTTCCAACCCACAGCAAGTTCTCATGATCAGGCTATTATCATTACTGCCGTAATATTAGTCTTTGAAATCCTGGAAAACCAGCAAAACAGAGGAGATGGCTAAATGTTGTGGTCGAATCCACTGGGCTTCGGAAATGATCACGATTCACTCTTGGATAAAGGGAATCTCCTCGAATTACAGGGGAAGTCTCTGGCTGAAGTGATAGATTTCTAACAGCTAGGTCTTTTGTGCAGGGTCAGTCCAGTTTTGAAGCCCTAGTGTGTTAAGGAGCTCTAGAGAAACGAATCATAGAGCCACTTTACGCTATGAGGCTAGTTCAAGATTGATTAAGTGCAATGTTTAGTCCTGAATTTGAAAAGAAGTACGAATCGATCCCAAAGTCTTTTAATGAAGAGTTGAGTCTAAACTTTGAGAGCCAAATTTTAATGCTCCATTCGTATATTTTCATGCAGTGGACTCAAGTCTTGATGTGATACATAAGGGTAAGAAAGTGCATTATTTTATTTTTTTAAGATCATCACAATCGCCTGTAATGCTGAACCGTGCTCTCATTCCTCAAGAGCTGATTTCCCTGTATCGTCGAGCAGTTCACTCTCCAGAATCTTTTTCGGGTGCGTTCAATTACTCGTTTTCATGAGTTGAATCTTCTTGTCGATTATACCCTGTAATTCACTCTCCTCAAGTTTTTTCGGTTCTACGTTACTTGGACGGCGTTGTGTCATTACTCGTACAGTGTGTTGGGCAATTTTAATCGTATCTTCTAAGGAGTTATGAAAGATTTTCGGGTTGCATCTAGCTGACGATAATCGTAAAGTCCGTCCACAATATCGATTCCAGTTTTGTTTCTTCAATCAGGACTATACTTTCCTAGACCTCTCTGCACTAATTTGCGTTTTATCAGGAGAATATCATAATTTTTGTCCAGAGTCATATTCTTGGTGACCTAAATGATGATAGAATCACAGTATTGGAATGAATCACGGAGGGGGCAGGTTTTGGAGGACATAATTTCCCTTCCCTTCATCTCAGAGCTTGTTGTAATTACTGACATGTGAAAACTAAGCTACGATTGGCTTTCAGGTGTGAACTTTGTTGGAAGACAGATGGAAGGTTTTGTATCAACTTCGGACGAAAAATAAATCGCTGAAAACGATGCTGATCACATGCTGATCACATTGCAGTTCTTACCCTGGAAGACATAGCCAAGTGTGCGCAAGTTTCCGATGTGTAGCACAATTGGATATTGGTTCTACTTGAGCAAAATGTATCTTCCAACGGTCTCGTGAAATGCTTTTGATACGTTCACGCTGGACGTGTTCTTTATGTGACAGCATTGAATTCTGGTTCGTAAGGGATGGGTGAAAATTGGTTGTGGCGTCATGCCAGGATACGATGCCCATATCAGCATCTATGAAGAAATTTGCAACAAATATTTGTATCCTCCTTCCGCACAAAAGATTGACAGCATACTCATGCGGCGTCTGGTCGTAATTGTTTAGCAATGAATACAAACACGCTGACTGAAAGCACGAAAGATTTAAGGTTCAACTCCTTGTAAATGTGTAGTTAAGATTCTCTACAAGACACCGCCGAACTTGTTTACGAGTATGCGGCCTGTTTAAAAAATCAAATGTACACATCACAATCACATGATTGTCGATTCTCATAACTTCAGAAGTGAACTAATAGCTGTTCACACCAGACATGCAACAGAAACTTTCCATGTTCGCTTGGGCCCTATCATTCCCATTCACATGTACAAACGAGGGCTGAATAGCACTAGCATTGGAAAAAACGAAGGCTGAATAGCACTAGCATTGGAAAGTAATTTGTTTAGTCGTAAAAAATGTTCCTACGGTCTCTGATCCTACACTCTTTTCTCCTTCCAACGACGAATTCAGCAATTTTAGGTGATATGTGTGTCACAGTTCAACTTTGACAGCCTTCTAAATCCTGGAAAAATAACACAATTTAAGTGACGGATCGATGCTGTGTAAGAGCCACCTTCATACCGGAAGTAACTACTCGTGGGAAAAAGTGATTCAGTTTGCGTTTCAGAGGAAATCGTTGAAAGATTTGCTGGAGTTCTGGCTACGAATATGTACAGCACTGTTCCAGGCAGTAGAGATCAGCTCCATAGCCTTTGAAATTGGAAGGGAACACACTCAATTTGCTTCTTGCTCAAACTCTTCCACTTCGCTTCCCTCCTCCCCGTTGTCAGCATCCTCGTCTTCGGCATCAACGTAATCCTCCTCGTGATTCTCAAGTGTTGATTTCCCAAGTGGATTCACGTCCTGATTCGTGGTTCGTATCTCAGCCCACTGCACACGATTCCCACACTCTCTGTATTATCCTCCAGGCAGCTAGGTTTATTGCAACAGACTCGATAACACGCTACCTTCTCAACATTAACCACGGCTTCTATTGCTCACAAACTCATCCAAAAACCCTTAGCCCGTAAATTCTCCAAAACATACAAACCATTCAAATCCTAAGAGACGCTTCTAAATCTAATTCAATCCCATACAGGAAGGAAATAAAAAAACAGAAAAGAACTGGCATCCCATTTATATTCTCCCCACAACCACCGCCATCACTCCACGCACAGATTGAACCCCTAAATGCCAAACCCCTGAGAGATCCCAACTCCGGGCAGACAGAAAGGTCAGAGAGGGTTGCAAAATTTCACAGCAATCAGTTGCAATGCTCCATACCGGCGGCGCACTCATCTGCGAACGTGTTGGAATCAGGTGACAATAGACATGGCCGTGAGTGATGGTTACCTTCTCTTCGAGCTCTTGCTCCTCCTGGGCAAGCTGCGTCTCGCTGTCGTGCGCAATGAGCCAGTCGTCGCTCTGGTCCACGGTGGGCGGCACCAGCACAGGGAACTGGACCATTCCGGACAACATGGCGATGGTAGTCGATGGTAGTTCTCCTCTCCTCTCCGAGAGCGATGGCGATGGAAGAATGCTTAATGATGGCTGCGGCTCCAACCGCATGGACTCACCCACATGGATCGAAATAGAGTGCGAGGTCCCTCTGGACACATCCCACGCCGGATTCACACAGCTACTGTTGGAGTCAGAATAACCTTGTTCACACAACATTAAATTGACTATAAATAGCTCTGTTCACATTTCCCTTGCGGGACTAGTAATGGTTTTTTTCACACTAGCGCAACTCGGAGGGCCTTGTCTTTTCCGTTTTTCCTCTTCTTCAGGTGACGTTTTTTTTTTAAAAAATTAAATAAAACAAGGGACTCGTTAAAGCCACACCCCCTTTTGCACTAAATGATCCAAATTGTACTAGTCCCATGTCCTCAACTCTGTTTCCATCCCACATCCCTAGTATCTTATTTCTGTACCCCATTCCCAGCCACCATCCCTGCCTCTGACCCCACCACCCCATCCTAACCCCCCTTGTCCCAACCCCATCCATGTCCCCAATTTATTATAAGCATGTGTAATTAAAAATATATTCATTTAATTATGCATACAGAATTAATCACTAAAGTAAAACATAAAATACATAGATTTTTTTATGTATATATGTGTATTTTATTATAAGATATTGATAAAATATCATTTATATTTTAGCAAAAAAATTAAAAACTTTTAAAAATTAAACTAAGAGTTTTTAAATTATATGTTTGATTATTTATTTTTAAAAATAAAATATTAATATTAATAATATAAGATAGAATATATATATATATATATATATAGGATATTTCTAATTTATTGATTAAAAAAAATACCATCAATATAAAGTATTTCTTAAGTTACAAACATAAATTAAGATTGAAGCTATTTATTAAAATTTTGTGTATAAAAGAGTCTATAATGATAGTGACAATTGTAGCTACAACCTTTTCATTTTTAGTAGAATTAAAACTACCCAAATAAACATTTTTGTCCAAACAAGTATATGTGGAACTCTAATTTCAAAGGTTAATATTATTGTTATAATTCACCTAATCAATACACTTGATTTCACTTTACTACATTTCAAAACTTTGAAGGGTATATTTGCTACTATCAAGAATGTAGGGATATTCTTGATATTTCAATATATTTGAGAGGTATATATAATATTTTCCCAAAAATATAACCTTCTTAAAACAATAAATCTTGGAGGTTATAACACTTTTATAGTATACACAAGTCCATATGCTAGTAATACAAGACATTGACAAACTTGTCTTATGTTAAGTCTTATATTAAACACAAATGAATATGAATGAAGAATGTGAATTGAGCTACAAAAGAGGGGCAACTTTGCATCTAAAGCTCAATCACTACTTTTTGTGGTCTTGTAATTATTATTTTATAACCATGACTTTAAAAAATTCTCTTACACTTTTAACATCTATATATATATATATATATATACCCATGGCTCCATTCAATTCCATGATGAGATGTTCTGAAATCTACATAAGATAAAAGTTCAATATAAATGGCTTAAGCGGCAGTCATTAGTGCGGTCACCTTTTCTATTCAAGATAGATGTTGTGGTTGTTAACAAATTCATTTTGAGAGAATTCAGTGAGCTTTCCCTGAGGAATTTGCCTGACATAACAACATGGGAGTGAGTCTGACAATGAGGTTTGACAATGACTTGGAAATATAATTTTTATGCTTCTAAGAATCAAGTCAGCTACGTTGGACAAATCAATTATCAACAAATCAAATAATTCTTATGATGGTGTCTCCACTAAAATAATGGTTTTCTTTTTGTGAGGTTTAGGTAGTCTACACTCTTGAAGGTGGAGGCCTTGGAGGTGGAGGCCTTTGTGTAAATGGACGTTCCAACTTGAGTGGCTCAATAGTGACCAGCGGCGGGGATGTACTCTCATAACACCTCTTCGAACACAAGGGAATCTGTCCTTCCTAAATCACAATACGAGAAGAACAATACCAAATTATTCACAGTGACAAAACAAAGGTGCATAATAGAAAATACCCATACCCATTTGCACATGGAAGGGTCGAGTGACGGACAAATTTTTGAGGAACCCCAGCTCTTGCGTAATGTTTGACACTCCAGTCGAAGACATAGTCCCGTGCGTAACCTGCAAGCAATTTCTTTTATGAGCAGGCTGCATTGCTAGGAATTGCGATGCAAGCAGAATACTGTCACGTCTCAAGAAACACAAGAATATTGATCTCGTTCTTACTGCAGAAAGTTTAACAAATGCCAGTCATCCATCTTATGTAGCAAACTATTCATGTATAAACCCCAAGCCCAAAACAAGGTCACCAAAGGATCATGAGTGAGTAGTTGAAGATACAGTAAATTCAGTCACAAGGTCGAGATTGTTACTCGCCTTCCTCGACCAAGCAGTCTTGAAACATCTTCTTGTAACCTTCATAGTCAGGTTCTGCTTGGAATGGAAGTGCTCGTGTGACTTGGAGGAACTTCCCAAATTGTGATGGCAATCCTTCACAGATCATCTGCAGTGTAACATTAAATTATAATGAATCGAGTTGTCACACGTGAATATAGAAAAAGGCACAGCGAGGTTGGTAAGCGTGAGTTTAAGCGATCAGATGTTATGTTAGTACCTCAGCGCACATAGCAATCTTCATTTTCATGATCCTTTCATGCTTCTCCTCTCTAGTTTCTGCTTTTATGTTTTCCCATGGAAGACTGTCCCGTTCAACCAACTCCACTTCATAGAAATGGTTAAGACTTACTTCAGCTTAGGTTGCTGAGATGCTATTCAACACGTAATGATATGGTTTCTCCTCACTAAGTATCATTTGAGAAGGAAGTTGACTTTAAAATTTCACGACATAAATCTCTCATTTGGAGCATTACATGAGCATATCCAGGACTAAAAGACGCTTGTCACTGACCTGCCTTTAAGCAAGTACACAAATACATATCCAAGGGACTCCAAGTCATCTTTTCTGCTCTGCTCTGTTTGTACCAGCATATACAGCTTTTTTAGAACCATTGCTCAATTAAGTGGAGCACGATTATGACGGTTTATAATATACAAGTGGCTGCATACTCACCAAGACCTAGATGATTGCCGATACTTGCATACCGAGCAGTGCCTACAAGATCCTTCTCGCTTCTACAGACATGAAAATCGAAAGCTGGTTGAAGGTTGATTATAATCAGAGAGGTAAGTTTACTCAGCTTAACAAGATAAGCATAACAAACAGGATGTTTCGTTAATTTGTCTCAAATGGAATAGGAATCCAATCTAAGGATACAAGTGTAGTCTGAAACAGAGAAATAAATGGCAGCTGATAAAATCATGAGATATCAGCTTCAGATGGATACATGAGCAGAGGCATTCCAGAGAAATTTAAAATGCGATACCTGCAAGGAATGTGTTCTTTAGTCTTAGGATCACTCCACTTTTTTGCGAGTCCAAAGTCGATAATATGAACCTAACGATTACCCATCTTTAGATAAAAAATCTTTATGCGTGTCACGATAACCACTCAATAGAAACTTCATAACTAATCAACCACCAAAATGCGTGTTGCTCTGTAACGCTTTCGATCACCTGATTTGCTTGTCTGCCAAGCCCCATTAGCAAATTCTCAGGTTTCACGTCTCTGTGTAGGAAACCTTTGGAATGGATGTATTGCAGCACATTAATCTGCAACGTTGTGTGAAGATGTTCTTAGCAGTTACTATATTCTAAAACTGAAAAATGCAAATCTTATCACCTCATACTACAAAAGCAATGAGAACTCCTGAAACAAATCGCATTCTTCAGCCGAAGGTTGAGAAATTATCGACATTAATGACTAGTAAGCTTTACAAGCAAAATCACGTTCAGTTTCTCTTTTATAATTTTCATGACCGTGAAACCCTTTCATAAAACGGGATGTCAGAATGTGGAACAATTCGATGTGGGACTTACAAGCTGATTCGCAAGCATAAGAACCGTCTTCAACGAGAACCTGGCAAGGTTTTCCTTGCAGCATGAAAATTTGACACTGCAGAACTCCTTGAGATCTTCAAGAGTTGGACCCAGAAGATCCATGACTAACACCCTGAATTGACCTTGTAAACCATACCATTGCATGTTGGCAATTCCAGCTGGTTAAGAAAAAACCCCCCACTCATAACAATTCAAAATGTATTAAAAAAAGTGTTTGAAACACCAATCTGGTATATATGTCAATTCGAAAGCTCCTGAAGACTCTGGATATGAACACATGGATTTTCGTGATCGAAAGAGGTACTACGAAACCTTAAAGCATGAGGTCCTTACGTCCGCCATGTAGAATTCGGTACAACTTTGACTCATACAGTAGCTGTGGATGCGTCGCGTTGATGTTTTCCTGCACGTTACGCATCAGCATTCTAGTGTTGAGGGCTTCTTTACATGGGAGCATTCAAGGTCACATGCTCAGATACAACAGTATTAGCTTCTGCGTCGTGTTGTGTATCAACAAATTCAAGGTTATTACTGTTATTATTATTCAAATAGAAACCAAGCCATCGCTGTCACACCAAGATCCACTTTGCATAGCGCATGCACTAATACAATGAGGCAATCGTAAGTCCTCACGCACCAACTTCATTGCAACCTGCTGGTTGCATCGGACATTTGTTCCTGCATTGAAGTGAAGGATTTTGGAAGTGTGTACACATGAAAACATGATCTGATGTGACGCAGTATGAAGTGGTCTTTCGCCACAGTTGGTATTGCATTGCTTGACTTACAAAATGCCTGAAACTATCCTCCACAAACTTGCGTCTAATCAGTCCGTGGGCCCAAGTTTTTATATACTTCTAAGCTTACATCGGTGATAAGTTTTTTGTTATATGCATACGACGAAGATTGAGCCAAATTATGACCAGTGCTGTTGGAAGGAAAAGAGCTCTCGGGCTTCACTGACCTACAAAGACATCAGCGGAGGAGCCATTCCCAATTTTTTGCCCGAGCAAGTATTTGTTCCCTCTCTCGTAATTCATGGAAATCGGTACTGCGTTTTCGGTGGCTTTTTTTCCATGCAGTTACTTGCTTTTTCAATGCAAATGGTTCATATCCTCTTGGAGCTGGTTCTCTGTCTCAAACAACCGTCAGGACAGAGGGCTTCAGATTGTGTGTACATGAGCGATTAGGTCTACGACAATGACAGTTCACTGCTGAATGATGGTTTACGAGGCCTGATGCCTATTGAGATCTACTTAAAACCCTATATCTCCATGGCTACATAAGACCTGTTACAACCTTTTAATTCAAACAAAACTGCCTAACTAAAACTTGACTAGGGTCAGTCACCTAAAAGTCGAAAAAATGTAAGAGAAAAGCTAGAATTTATGTAGGTGGCCGCCAGCTTATCACTGGATTGTTGAACAACCTACCAAAAGTTTGGAGTTGGCTCGCCGGTGGCCGTTTGATGTTGAAACAACATGTAGACCTAAATGAAGCGATAAACTAACTCGCACTGCAGCGGAAAAACAAGTACAATCGATCAACTTGCACAGGACAAGAATTGGGAAAGTGTAATAATGATCACAGCGAATAAGGACCAAATACTACTCGAAATTCTCCAGCTCTGGAACTCAGGTCGACTCACAACTCCACAAGTAGCTCAGCTCCAGTGAATTCTGCACAAAATTCAGTTAACACGCATTTCACATTCCATACTATGACCGTGGATCACTACAGGGGCTACTGTTGAAAATGCGGCGATGTACTTGTGAAAGTCTGATAGCTCCTTGTTGAGTTATCTAATACTTGTCGTTGATTGGAGTTGGTAATGCATCTCGATTCTCCACCTTTTGATGATCAATTTGTTCAGTTCTAAACGTGCTAGTCCAACTGTCTTGAGCAATATCTTGCTTCCTTTATTTCTACTTTTCAGGCGATGCAAGGTGACATCAGGGCATCGTCGTCTGTTCTCGAAATTGTCAATGAGAGCGTGAGGCTGCTGCTTTTCGCAAATGCATCCTGCCATTTTTTGAGAAACAGGGTCAGCACTAAGAAATTCAAATTCCATTCTGAGCTTTGTCAATGGCGAAGTCTGGAAAAATATGAAACCTCGTCCTTAGCGGTAAACAAGAACAACAATTCAATGAGAACTGGTGAGTCCCCCTTGAAGTTTGAGCTCCCTATTTCTGAATGAGATTTCTAAGAATTGCAATTACTTCATTTTCATCCAGCAACTAGGCGAGTATTTTCTGTACAGGGTAGTGCATTGCATCACGCCGATGCATCAAAGCTGCGAGCAGGCGCTACTATGTGGGAGTCTAATCTAGCTGCAAATCCTTCGCTGATCGTCAATAATGGTGGTCCAACAAGGAAGCACATTGAATCTGTTTGCAAGTAGTTTCGATGCATAGACCAATTCGTCAGTGACATTACATTATAATTGTAGAAGGAGATTAGATCTGGTATTGAGCTTTAGATAGCTTTGCTTGGTTTGTGACTTGTGTGGTTATTGCTAGATTTGCTTGTAATTTTGGTGTTGATGCAATCCAATTGTTGTTGCTGAACTAATTTCCTTGTTTTCTTTGCCTTTACTCTTGTAGCTATTTCTTAAAAACTAATCACATGATGTAATGCCCCCTCTACAAGTCTACTGTGGTGCTGTTCCGGTGCCAATTGTGGTGTTGTTCAAGTGTTAATAGCCCCTATTATTGTTCAAGGGCTTTTGGGAGGTAGAATCGTGTGAGGGAGGCTCTCGAGTGGTAGTGGTGATTGCGATGCAGATTGTGAGTCGGGGATGGTGCGACCTGTCTGATGCATTGGAGGTGTTAGAGATTATTTCTGTGTTCCCACTTCGTCTTGTTGGAGCGCAACATTGCATTGGGTTCCTTTTTTTGCAGTACCAAGGAAGTTAGCAGTGGTCGATTGGAACAGGACAATCTCAATAGAAAAAATTCTTGTGTCTTGAGACCAAAGAAACCACCTACTAATAAGATTTTTTTCAGCAAGCCGGAGAGCTTGAATTCAATTCACGAGGCTTTTGAGCCTATCATGTTATCGGTGCTTATATATGGTCAAGGTCTCCTACAGTGCCTTCGGGTGATTACTAAACTTATCGTTGCAAGGCAACACAAAGTTGAAAGTGGAGGTTTGGGTGGGGCGACTATTGGATGATTGGTGGAAAACAATATGAAAACTTTGGAGACTAGCAGGAAGGATTTTTGGAGGCTTCGAGGTGGCGCCAGAGTTAGCCTTCAAGAGCATGATCACTGCATTTGATCCAATATCCATAATTGCGAGGTGCAGTCTTTGTTTTATAACGAAGACATGGTGGAGATGCCATGGTGGAGTCGAAGTATACAAGCCTGAGGAAGCGATCGATGCGCTCAAGTGCCCTACTGGCCATAATAGTTAAAAATGCAGGGAATTTGTCAATAGTGTCAAGCCTCCCCTTGCATTTTCTGCTGCAAGTGAAGTTGATGGTGAGCAGTCTACTATCGGACAAACTTCAAAAGCTGAGTTTCTTTCTTTTTACTTTTTTTTTTTTTTTTTTTTTTTTTTTTTGACAAATACTCCGGCTAGTATATGCTCATAGTGAGTAATTTTCATTGCATAAAATAAAATAAAATAAAAATAGCTAAATGATAAAGTAATAAACAAATATGATAAAATTCTCTTCTTGCTTTTGTTAAAACAATAGTAATTAAGACCAATAAAAAAAATATAACAAATATGCCACAATTCAAGGTGAATTTGTTGATTTGGATACACTTAATGAAGATAATTTTTATAAGTTGAGGACTTGACAATGAAGTTCAAATTTAATTTAATCCAAACATTTTGCAATTAAATCCATAGATTGTTTATTGATATTGATGTAATGTAATTGAATTTTTTCTTCTAACACCTTTTTACAAATAAAATAATGATGAATTTCAATGTGTTTAGTTTGAGCATAAAACATTAGATTTTAAACAAGTTTAATTGCAATTTAATTATTGCCAAAGAAGAGAATGTGTCAAAAAATTAGTTTCTCTAATTACATTAAGAAATAAATGTATTAAATTTCTTTTAAAACTAAAGAAGCTACCTATGTAGATTTTTTATAAAAACATATGCATTAGACTTCTTTTGTATTTTTTTTATAAAATGAGTTGCATTAGACTTTCTATAGGTATAATATTATCACAAATGAGAGTAGATAATAAGTTCTATCTAGTAGTTTATTATACTAAGAAATTTTTAGCAATCGAGATCATTTATAAGATCAGAGATAAAGAATTTTTTACAATCGTGGATTCATTTTTAAAATGGCATCATTATTTAGAAGATACTTTTATTCTAGCCATTGTATATATAGATCACAAGAACCTTGAGTATTTCATGTCAACATGTATTTTGAATCATTACCAAGCTTGTTGGAGCATGTTTTATATCAAGTTTTGATTCTAAGATCACTTATCTATTCAAAAAATAATAAGGCTGCTTAGATGTCTTTTTTAGATATTCTTATTTTACATCAAAAGAAAGAGATGTAACTTTTGATTAATAAGTTCGAATATTTTTATTTTTCTATTTTTATTTTTATTTTTTTTAAAATTATGAAGTATATTCTCAAAGATGAAAATGTTTCAACTTAAAAAAAATAATTGGAGCATTTTTATGTCTTTTTTTTTTATATATAAGATAAGAACATCCAAGAAATCTTGTTGTTTTTTGAATAGATAAATGATATTAGAATCAAATATTGATATAGGACATACTCCAATGGACTTGGTGATGATTCAAAACACATGTTGGTATGAAATACTTGAGATTCTTGTGATCCATATACACAACGATTAGACTAGAAGGATCTTTTAAAAAATGACCTCATTTTTGAAATGAACCCATGATTGGAATTTCAATTTGGAGCATTTTCATTTTTGAGCAATGAAATCAACATTGATTATTTATTCAATGTTTCTCAAGCAAATTCAATTGATTCTGTCTTCTAATCTTCTTATTTATGATATTATTAATAATTCTTTTAAGCCTTATGATACTTCTAAGTTTGAGATTAAGAATAATCTATTCTATTTCAAGGGATGATTATATATTCTACAAGACAAAGAATGATTACATATACTTCAAGCTTGTCATAATTCTCCAATAACTGAATATTTTGAATATAACAAGAGTTTGAAGGTAATATTGATAGATTTTTGGTTGTCTCAAATATAGAGGGCAATTAAAGATTTTAAACAATCATATGATGTTTTTTGAAGATCAAAAACTCCTTGTCATCAACCTTATAAACTTCTCCAATCATAACTTATTTATTTCTATAGATTTTATCATAAATCTTTCAGTCTCAAGTTCTCATGATTTTATATTTGTGATAGTAGATTGTTTTATCAAGATAGTACATTTTGTACCATATACATAATTTATCATGGATGAAAAAATAACTAAGCTTTTTCTTCATAATATCTATTACTATCATAAATTATCCAAGAATATTATATTGAATAAAAGGATTCAATTTTTATAAAGATTTTTGAGAGTTCTTTTCAAGATTCTAAAGATGAACATAAAATTATCTTTGGCTTTTCATCTTCAAATCAATGGACAAATATAATATATAAATGAAGTTTTGAAATAATATTGAGGAATACCATCAATTATCAATAAGATGATTGAACAATTCTTTTGTCATTTATAGATTTTTTTTATAATAACAAGATATATTTTTCTATATAAAAAACATATTTTTTTTGTTTATTATGATTATCATCTATGACTTGATGCTTTTGACTTTTCAAAAGTTGATAATTCTATGGCGGATATTTTAGCAAATCATTTATCTGAGCTATTGTCATAGACTAATATTTATTGTAATTATTATATAGATAAAATAAATAGGTAGAAGTAAATAAAAATAAATTAATTTCATAATATCTTCTAAAGAAGCTTCTTAGAAGCTTTAAAGATGTTGTTTTGACTTTATATATATTTTATACTTCTTTAAAAAAATCTCACTTGTTTATATGCTTTTATTGAGTTCTTGTCATAGACATATTGATAAGAATGTATTTATAATATCAAAGCTTTAGCTTTTCTTGAATAAAATAAAATTATTCCTTTCTCTTAATAAGATATAAGTATATTAGAAATTACAGATTATTATCTTCAAAATTAATATTATTTTTAATATTTTATTTATAAATACTTTTTATAGATTA